TCTGTCTGTCTGTCTGTCTGTCTGTCTATCTATCTATCTGCCCGCTTGCCCGCCCATCCACCAACCCAACATAAATATACAGTATTTATGTTGGTAATAATGACTAGACAATAATGCAAGGATCAGTTATTACAATACCAAAAAGCATAAGCAACACCAAAAACACATTCAAAACAGTAAGGTACAACAATCCACTCAAAAAACCCCACTCGGCAGCCATTCACTCAGGGAAAGCTTGCCGGAAGAGAGAGGTCTTCACCTGCTTGCAGGAGGACAACCAAGATGGGGCCAGTCTAGCCTCCAGTGGAAGGGAGTTCCCCAGTCTAGGGGCAGCCACAGAGAAGGCCCTCTCCTGTGTCCCCACCAAACATGGTCACTAGCAATGGTCACCAATCTGTCTCCTGTTTTACTGGGGTAGGAATGGACATTTTGAAACTAATCCCATTTTCAAGCAGGATTCATTATTTCAAGAACTGCAGACCTGCTCTTGAAATGTCCACACGCTTTGCTGCTTTCCCTCCGAAACTTCTCTGAGAAAGAAAATGGGAGCCCGTGTTCTTCTTCCAAAGAGCATGCTCTTCCCCCTTTATCCGCAGATCCTGCAGAGCCCCATGAGTTTCTTCGACACCACTCCAACCGGCCGAATCATGAACCGTTTTTCTAAGGATATGGATGAACTGGACGTGAGGCTTCCGTTCTGTGCCGAGATTTTCCTGCAGCAGCTTTTCATGGTGCTCTCCATCGTAGTAATCACGGCCGTCGTATTTCCATACCTCCTCATCGTCATGGCCATCCTCACGGTGATCTTCATCCTCCTTTTCCAGTAAGTGGAGCGTTCCTTGTCTATGAAAATCAGGTACTTTCCCGACATCCAAATCTGGGCAGTGGGGAAGCCAAGGTAGTCTGTGTAGAGACTCAGGTAGTTATTTCCTTGCTCGTAAATCACACATAGAAGGGGATTTTAGGCATGGAGTTTTTGGAGTTCATGCACCACAGACCCGAGACGTCTGCAAGAATTCCCCCAGCTAGACTTTCAAGGCCTTTAGCCAAGATAAACACAAGGCACAAGGCACAAGACAATAGACACAAGACAGAAGAAAAAAGTCCCTTCGGGTGCTGGTCATCACGTTCATCTGAAAAACTATGCCTTCTCTCAGATGCGATGGAGGAGGTGGTTGACTATGGCATTATGGGTCTGGTAGTCCCCCTGCCTATGATGCTCCATACATGCCACTAGATGGGCGGCATAGAGTTGAAATAAATAAATAAATGATTCAGTAGGGCCCAGCGCCAGCTCTGCAGGCTTCTGCTCCTCCCGGGCAGTTAGGATCTCATCCTTCCTTCACCAGGTGGGGCCCTGCTCTGGGTCCTTCTTCAGGGGCTTCCACTAGCAGTTGGACCCGATTATCGGCAGGAGGTGTGTTTATTTGTTTTTAATGCAGAATCCTGCTTTTAGATCGAGGGTTGAAAGACCTCCTGCCAGAGTCCATACCTAGCTCATATGAACCCTACGCCTGCATTTCCTTGCAGGGTTTTCCAGCACACGATCCGGGAGCTGAAGCGAGTTGACAACCTCAGCAGATCCCCGTGGATCTCTCTGATTACATCCTCCATCCAGGGCCTAAGCACCATCCATGCCTACAATAAACAGGAAGACTACATAGATCGGTAAGACGCCTGGTCCAGAACATCTGGAAATCGTTCTCTCTCTTTCTCTCCCTGCTGGTTGCTTGGAAGGGGGTGGATAGAATTGTGTCGCTCTTCTTCCTTGGCCAACACACCTCCCAGTTTTCTACCTGGCAGCGCATTGATGGAGCCACTCTGTTATTGTGTGACATAAGCCGCTCAGATCCCGTGGCTTTTCATTTGCAGGAAATGGCAAGCCACAGGGAAGCTCCCACATCACGCCGTGGTTTCTCTGCATTATCTCAAAGCGATCGTTATGTGTGCCGCTCTACGGTATCCCCACCGGAGTGCTTTATATTCTTTTCCTGAAGCATTATATTATTCTTAGGACTTGTGTTTTGGAGTGGAAGAATTTTGTCACGTCCCTGGGTGAATCTTCTGTCGGTTGCTTTGTAACCTGGCGCATGGCAGGAGATTCCAGGGCTTTAAACAGCCCACTGGTAGCACATCCTTTTCTCCCGTAAGCAGAGGGCATTTTGCAGAAAAGCAAACTCTTCGTCATCATGGGCTTGTCTCATTTTCATGGGCAAGGATGGAAGCAGCCAAATATTTTCCCTGGCCTGTGTGACGGTGATATATCTCTTCCTTTCATTGACCAAAAATACATGGGAACAATCCGCACACCCCCACTGCACAAAATTACCCATAGCCACCACTTCGTTGGGTGAACTTTTTAAAAATCAGAAGCCACTGATAGGTTTTATGTATCTTTTTACGAAATCAATCAGCCAATGTTTGTGTGCTTGCGGTGGCTGAGTGCATTTGTGCTGGGTGTCTGGACTTAGAGACACAAAAGGAAAATATGCTCATTTGTGCAATCATATAAATATGATCAAAGCCAGTCCGCTTCTTGTCTTCTTGCACAAGAAACCAGAAACCTTACTATCTGCAGCGATTTCTTGGCAAACTGTCTCTAGGTCACGTGTCCCATTTAGAACAAGTAATTCTGCAAGGAATTCTGTCATATCTAAGTTATGTATCACAGCAGACTGACAAAATCATCACATGCTAAGGAGAAGGGGGGGGTGTAAGAACACTAAGACATTTATTAAGCAGCCTAGGGCCTCTGATGCTCTCACGAGAACAATGGTAAACCTTACCTCCCTGTAAAGCCTACCTTCAAATACTAACAAGAAGTTAATTACACTGCCGTTTGTTCTAGCTTTTTCACCCCTTTCTTTTCCAAGCAGGTTGTCTGGTGGATGCCCAACCAGACCAACTCATGCCCCCCATTAAGAGCTTTCGCTTCCGCTTTCATTTCAGCTTCAAAATGTTGAACGACAGAAATTCCAGCCACTTTGCTCTGTTCAATTACGCCCTGCGGTGGTTCGGGGTGAGGACGGACATCCTCATGATCATCATGACGCTGATCGTATCCCTGTTCGTGGTCCTCTCGCCATCTTCCATCAGCGCCGCTGAAAAAGGCTTGGCTTTAACTTACACCATCCAGGTAGGAGAAAGATCTGGGACTGAAAAAGCCATTTTCACACAGTCCGAATGGGACCCAAGATGTCCAGAGGCTAACTTCTAAACAGGCTGGTGTTGAGGCTTGTGGAACAAAGCAGAGCTGAGAAAAAGTTACTTTTTGGGATGACAGCTTTCAAAATCCCATGGACAGTATGGCTGCTCTTGGCGAGAGGATTCCATGAGTTGTAGCTAAACATCTGACAGTGATGATTTCTTGCAGATAAATAAATAATCCCAAAAGTAACTTTTGGGCTCCTCCAAACTCAGCACAGCATCAGCCGCCTGAAGCAGCCACCTCACTCTGCCTCAAGCGAGGGCCCTCAGACAAGATATTGACCAATCTTCCAAAATGGAGGATGGAGGATGGAAGACACCCCCCACCTTCTGTCACTTTTAAGTCATCTGGGTTCTTCGAAACCAATGCTCCTTGATTTTAAGCACGCATGGAAATCAGTATCTTAAAAGTCATCCTTATCTGAAACATTCATTGCATGGCATGTTGTCTTTCCTTTCCCTGCTAACCCTTAACCCTAACCCTCTACACTTTCAAACTAGCGAATAGGATGTTTTTTTTCCTGGGAGCGACACATTCCCGGGAAACAACAAACCATTCCCTGTATTTCTTGCCTTGACTTTTTGGCCCCAATCCATCCATTCCTGTCATCTATGCAATGTCTATTAACATGTAGATGATGCACGCAAGGAGCCATCTGTTGTAATCACAGGATTAATGGTGTGTTACTCGCTATACACTTTATGTGCATTAAAACATGGGAGGAAGGCAAATTTTTATGTTTTAATATATATGTTTTTTTTCTTGAAAGTATAATATTTTCCCCTCAAGTGTGAGGCGCTTTCAGAATGGTAAATTATGATGCCATTTATTAACACATTCTATGAAAGGATAAATATTTCCTGGGGAGATGATGGAAAAGCCTGTGAAACACAGCCCCCCCCTCAAGTCAAATTATGAAATATATTTTTATTATCCCCCTAGGCCTTCAGCTAGTCCTTCTCCACAGGCAGTTGTAACAGCTTGTGAAATTGCCTGAAGGGTCGGATCATTCAAGAGAGGCTTGCTCCTCAAACTTTCTTTCTGCTTTGAATATTCCTTTCTCTTCCCTTGGTTCAGCATAGCTTTCATGCCGTACATGAAAGGGGTGGAAGCTGATTTCTCAATACCCAGGCGCAGGGCCGGCCCAACCATTAGATGGAATGAGGCCGTAGCCTCAGGCAGCAAATACTGGGAGATGGCAGGGTCAGGGATCAAGGGCAAAGTTATAGATGACTCAGAATCTACCTTGCCTCCTTCTTGCTCCCTCAGCTTCAGTGAAGGACCTCCTTTACTTGCTGGGGTTTGCAGTAAACTTCAACGGACAACCCACCTAAACTGTTGTTCACCACATGAGTAGAGAGAGGCCATTTTGTCTACTCCTTTAGCCTGGAAAATGGGCTGAGCAAACCCTGCTCAAATGGCCATCATTGGATACGGAACAATGGTTGAGCTCTTGTGGCTTAGCGTTACTACATCATCAGTCGAGCAGGCCCATTGAGTCAACTGAATTTATCAAATAGTGGACTGACCCCATATATTATGTGAAGCAACAGGATTTCAGCCAGTTTCTGTGATTATGGGTAAATTCACATGTAAAGGCATGATACACATGGACAGTTGGATATTTTGAGAGAGAAAGAAGTGATTTTCCCTTCTCCGTGTTTACCTGGGGCAGTGGCTGGGTCAAAGTGGCCGCTGTGTGAAAAGATAGAAGTTCATCATCTCCCCCCCCCCAAAAAAAAAGCCTACAACGGTTTCAGAAAACAGACGAGTGATTTATCATCATCTGATGTCCCTTTCTCCAAATTTTTTTTTATGAGGATGATGAGAGGAAATCAGAAAGTCACCTTGTGATGTATTTTTCTGCCTCAGATAAAGGCTGTAAGCATTAACCGGAGATGAAGCAACTATGGGGCAGAGGCTAGAGAATTTCAAAGGTTTGATTGTGCACCCAGAGCTGCTGTCCTGTGAGCCTGGACGTAAGCCCCAACTTATCCCTGCAGGATGTACTCTGAATGCCTCCATGGGGTTATATGGAGCTTCCTAAGAATATAGGGTGCTTCTTTAGGCTGCCTCAGAGATCACTGATCTATCTAGCCTAGCATTGTGGAGGCACTTTGCTGAGGGAACCTCTGAGATGAAGCTGGCTCTGCCTAGGTGGGTACCAAACCATGGCAGTCTACGTAAGACCACTAGGAACATGTGTCTGATTCCTCAGAAGCTAAGCAGGGTCTGGCCGGGTTGGCATTCGGATGGGAGACCCACTGAGGAATACCAGGGAGCTCCAGATGCAGTGCCAGGACAGAATCCTGTCTGGGAACAGGAGATACAAGACTGCTTCTCGGAACGGGGTGAAGGTGCACCAAGGGGTCCATCTCTCTAGAAGGAAGCTTCCTTCCTTCATGTGTTCCAGATACTGTATTTAGCTATAACTTTATTATATTATGTGGCATTAAATTAGAGATTGCTTATAACAGAGCTTTCAAGGTAAATGATAGATTTACTGGGTGTTTTTTTACTAATTCCGCAGCTGAGTTTCCACAGCTGACTGGGGATTTGAACCCATGCTTTCTGAGTATCATTTGGCCCAGTGCTCTTTGTTAGACACTGTAAATAACTAGATACACGCCAGTTCTTTCTGAGATTAAGGTTGAACAAAAGGTATCCTCTTTTTAAAAAACAAAATCACAAATGGTATTGGGTGAGACTGTCACAAAGCTTGGAGACGTTTTTGGATCAGAATCTGAGAATCATCTTAGAACCGCAGGGCTGGAAGGCGCCCGCGGGAGCACGGCGTCCTGCCCCTTGTCAAAGAGGACCAGTGGAGGAATCGAACTCTCAGCCTCTAAACCACGGAGCTATCTAGCCGTACCTCCCAGAATCCCCTAGGGAGCATGGGCCATGTTTCCATACATTGGAAGGGGCCATTCCAAGCATTCAGAAACATGTCCTCACATACTTTCTGAACATTTCATACTTCAGTGTTTCCGTTCTAGCCTTTTGCTTTCCGTTTTTTGCTCCCGCTGCTCCTTGTGATGACCTCCCACCCACCCCTGGGGCAGCCTTCGCAGGTCAAGGACCATCAGCTGGCCGCCATGCAAGCGTGCACTCACTGTTGGGTGGCTCACCCCTATGTGCTTGTTTC